AAGGGCCCATATATTACGTGGAGTACACACGGCCCTGGGGCTTCTGAGGTGGGTTTAGCGGGATGGGTGTGGGTTTATGGTCTGACAGTTTAGGGTTTAGGGTTTAGGGTTTAGGGTTTAGGGTTTAGGGTCCGTTTCAGGATCTCAGTAGGTGATGCGCTGCGAAAAAGAAACCTTTAGGGTTTCGGGCTTCGGGTTTAATCCTCATCCCTAAACCCTTTCATCCCAAACCCTAAACCCTAAACCCTGAACCCGAAGCCCTAAGTCCCTGGATCCCAAAATGCCCAAACCCTATACATTCAACCGCTTACTGTAGGGGGCCTTAAATAAGTTAGAATAGGGCTTTGGGGTCCATTATGCTATAATTATAGCACGGAGCCCCCAAACAGTATAGGCAATTATGTAGGCCCCTATAAGTATAGCTACCCGAAAGACTGACAAACTTCCAGGCCCTGGGCCATGCTCTCTGGTTTGGTTGAAGGGCTTTTGCTGGGTTCTGGTTTAAGGAAATCTAGTTTAAGCTACCATAATGGGGATCTTTTAGTACATACTATTTTGCTGGGTTCTTAGGTTTTTGTTCAGGAATTTAGTTCAGGGTTTAGGGTTTCGGGCTTAGGGTTACCATAATGGGGATCTATAGTAAATAATGGTTTCCTTATTATAGTAACTTAAACTAAGTCCCTTGACAAGAACCCAGTTTGCAGGCAATGAGGGGCAACTTGGAGGGTTCAGGGTTTAGGCTTCGATAACGGTACTGTGTAGGGTTTAGAGTTTAGGGCTTAGGGCTTTAGAGTTGAGTTTTTGGGGTTTAGTTTCGGGGTGTGGGTATTCATGCGGGTTCGCAGGAGTTTCAACAACTTCGGTCTCTCCGCATCGCACAACGCCACCAAAAAACTGGAGGGGGCGTTCATGTATAGGTGAAGCTTCGGCAAATGATATCGGACGCCCCCCTTAAGGGGCCAAGCCCTCAGCCTCACCTCAGGGGACCGACCGGATCAAGAACCCAAAGCCTACGCCACTCGCCCAGAGTACCCAAGTGGCTCTCTAGGGACAACATCAAGTACCCAAATAATCGGATGTTAAGTACAAGACTCCACACTCTGAAAAGGTTTTTGCTACAAAAAACACAAGACTATTGGGCACTTGGACCCTCAGCGCTCTTTCAGGACGTTCAGGTGTTGAACCTGCGTGAGATGCCTACATGCATGAGCATCTCTTGAAGTCAAAACCTTGCCACTCCACATGAGGTGGAGTGCTGCACTTCCCCTAAGGGTCCATGTGCTCAAATAGTATATACTTTGGCCTTCAAGTAGTTCCTATAGGGGTACTCTGGGGCCAAAGTATATACTATTTAGGTACATGGACCCATGGGGTTCTCCTCACGACACCAAGCCATGTACACTTCAAACAGAACTACGTCCACCAAGGAACCACAGAACTACAAGCACACGGACTCCAAATGCGAAGACATGAAGCCCTCACCCCTAAAAACGTCACGTTGAACCTTGAGGTCACACAAGGAGCCCCCAAGAACAAGAACCCCAAACAACCTAAACCAGCAGCATTTTTTAAGACACCAAATTTAAAAAGAACCCGGGCTCCTTTAAGGGGTTCTATAGGTTTCTTAAGGGCTCCTTTAAGGGTTCTATATAGGTTTCTGAAGGGCTCCTTTAAGGGTTCTACAGGTTTCTTAAAGATACCGACAAAAACAAGCTCTCGCTGGTCCCTGGCCTCATGAACACGTGCACGCGAGGAGGTGCCCGGTCTGGGGGAGCTTCGCTGCGTTTTGGGGCTAAGCGGCTTATGGGGTTTAGATAGGGTTTAGGGTTTAAGGTTTAGAGCTTATGGGGTTTAGATAGGGTTTAGGGCTTAAGGCTTAGAATCTAAGGGGTGAGGTTTAGGGTTTAGGGTTTAAGGCTTAGAGCTTAAGGGGTAAGGTTTAGGGTTTAGGGTTTAAGGTTTGGAGCTTAAGGGGTAAGGTTTAGGGTTTAGGGTTTATAGTGTTTAGGGTCTATGGTTTAGGGTTTATACAGGGTTAAGGGGTCCATATAGGGCCTAGGGTTTACGGTAACACCAGGGTCTGGGGGTTAGAGTTTGGGAGTG